CCCTGAGTAAACAGACATTAGCTTCCTAGAAATCCTGGGGTGACAGCAGAGTCACCAGGCATCATCCTCCACAACCCCAGAAAGCAGAGCAGCCCCCAGGATTGCTGTGTAGACAATACACCCCTCTATAAACGGTAGAAGCTGACACACACCCTATTTGCAAATATTAACACATGTTAGCTGAAAATGTGAACTAAAATATTCCTTTAATTAAACATGAAAACCTTATCCCATCGGCTAGCACCTGCCATCTTCAGATGAAGCCCACAGTGAGGCATACGTCTTCCCCACAACTATCTTTTGCTTATCTCCTCTACTTTCTAGTCACTTTTTCCAGGGCCAGCTTGGGCTGGATAAGGGAGAGAACAAGTAAAGTGAGGGAAAAGTGCCTTGCCCAAAGAGCTACCGTTTCCAGTCCGATCTCTGCTCTCTGCGTCTGGCAGAAAGAAGTGAAAGCTAAGCATTTTACAGAGACATCTGTACCATTTCTTCGGAGAGGCTCAAGCCTTGGGATTCCTTCCTCAAGCGCCCTTCACTAGGGAGACCTTTTGCATTGTTCAAAGCATGCTCTCCCACTGGGCTATATCCCAGCCCTAGCCACTCTTGTTTGGCCAGTAAGAATTAGGCATTTTCTCCCAACAGCTTGCTATTCCCTTTTTGGTGATTTTCAGCAAAAATAAAAATGGCCCTACTGAAGGAGGATGGGTCCATAGGCAGCCCTAGTTGACCCAAATCTTCCTTTTCTCACTATTACTTCTCAAAGTGACTGTAGAAAGTACTGTGAAGCCAGCACATTGGAAAAAGAAGAACTGAGCAGGACAGCCTCAACTCAGTCCTATTTCTTCCAGAACAGGAAGGTACTTAACACCTGAGCAGCTCCAAAGCAGAAAAGCGAGGCTAACATGCTCTCTGAGTCCCTGAGCTGCAGTACACAGTGAGGCATGAACATACATGATGCTATCATCCTAGGACAGCTTTCCTGAGCCTTGGGGGACCAGCTCTCCATGAATCCCAGGCACTGTGCTCTTCTTGTCTATATGTGATAACCTTGCCTGAGTTGAGCGAGGCCTGTCTCACTGGACTCACATCAGTGGCAGAGAACACTGGTCCCTGCCATCATAACCCACATCTACAGCCCAGGCAACGACTCCTTTGGATAAACCTCAGCCAAGCAACCTTCTTGCTTCCATTAGAGGGTGCAGAGAAAGCATGAAGGGTTGATGGCGAAGACAGTCAGTGCTCACGAGCCACCGAGCAAAGGGTCTTACACGTTTCTACCTGGAGTACATGTCACAGAACGCATTTTGACATGCTGCTACTTTCTGATAAAGCTCCAGTCTGTCTGTGGTTCCGTCTAGGAAGCACACTCCAGCTTATCCTAGAAATCCTGGGCTGACAGAGCAAGTCCTGGAACCTCTGTGGTTTGCAGATGTTGTGATTTGTACTCACAAAGCAACACTTTTGTTTCATTTCAGGCAACGGTATCCACCTACTCACACAGGTCAAGCCTTGCTCTACTGTTGAGTTGTCTTCACAAATCTTCCCCTCCCACAGTCAGCCTCTAACCAGAGTTCCCCCGCCCCCACGTAGCCAATGTGCATGTCAGCAGGCCAGCTCTCTGTGAAATGGAGAGAGCTGCTGCTCAGATGCCCAGGACTCCCCTGGCAATCTCAGTGAAGGTCCTGATTAGGAGGCTGTGTGTGCAGCAGTGTGTGATGGAGCGTGGAGGCCCTCACGCCATGGATTTACTATTGTTATCTTATTACTGAGGACAGAACCAACTGTCCAGAGTGGCAGAGATTTCTGTTATCCAAGAAAATAAAGGACTTTATGGTCAAAGTTGGAGTTTTTGGTTTGTTTTGTTTCACAATTTTTGTAACAGACAGCTTCCCATAGTTGGCCATCTGTAAACATGAATAAACTTGAATTTGGGAAATTCCCCTATGAAGAATTTCATGACAGGGCAGGGGAGATAGCTCTGTGGGTGAAGTCCTTGCTGGGTGGGTCCTGAGGCTCATGGGCCAGCCAGTCTACCCAAGCCAGCAAACGTGAAGTTGAGTGAGAGATCCTGCCTCGAAGAATAATGTAGGGAGCAGCAGAGGAAGCACCCTGATGGCAGCCTTTGACCTCCACAGGTGTCTGAATGGATGAGTGCATGAGTACTGTATACAGGATCAGGTCAGGGGCGGGGCAATGCATGGAGGGAGAGAGTGCAGGGAAAGATGGCTGGAATTGGGGGGTGCGCATTTGGGGAGCAGCGTGGAAACCTAGTATAATTGAACCTTCCTGGAATTTATGAGGGTGATCCTAACGAGGATTCCTAATAATGGTGGATATGGCATCTCAACTTGCCATCTTCTGTAGCCAGGCTGGGCTTTCAGCAGTGGTACTGGGTTGCATTTGGTTGCATCGGGTTCTATGGAGTTCTTTAAACAGCACAGACTATGCTAGGACAGAGGGTTGCTCTCTGCAAACTGACAGTGGGACCCTGGTTCCAAGGACAACATCTCCGTAGCTCATTGACTGTGGAGAGGTTGAGCAGGTGCCTGCAGGGAAAGGGAGCCTTCACCCCTAAGTTCTGGTCTCTTTGGTGTGGGAAGGTGCTTTGCCAGGTAAGAAAAGTGAAACCTGGATGACACAGCCACAAACCTCTTGACCTACAATTTGTCATCCCTACAAGATGTAGGGGGGATGGGAGGATATGGTAGCTCAGAGCTTGTGGGAGTGGCCAACCAATGACTGGCCCATGCCAGGAGAGGGAGCCCTGCTGGACTTGGGGATGCTCTGGACTTGGGGTAGTCCAGAGACCCATGATAGAACCAAACAGGCTGGTCTAAAAACAAACAAACAAACAAACAAACAAATAAAAAAAAACAAATGAAAGGATTCCTAATGATATTCTGCCAAACTCATAGATCTGTGCCTAGCCCAGAGAGGTTTCCTCTGGCAGCAGATAGGAGTGAATGCAGAGACACACAGCCAGGCGTTATGCCGAGAGAGTTTACTTGGAGGTGTCGATAGAGTCCCTCCCTTCAGAGCTCAGGGAATCAACAAGGAATAAATAAATAAATAAATAAATAAATAAATAAATAAATAATAAGGAAATCGATTCTTCTCTCAGACAATACATTCCTACTGAAGTTTTCCCTCCTCCCAGATCCCTCCCCCCACTTCCCTTTTCCTGCAGATCTGCTCCTCTTCCATTTTCCTTTAGAACAGAACAGGTTTCCTGAAGGTAAGCAAATATAGCATAACAAGTTACAATAAGCCTAGGCACAAGCCCTCTTATCGATGGTGGTTGAGGAAAGTCAAGGGAGAAAAAGGGTCCCAAGAGCAGTCAAAAGAGCCAAAGACACCCATACTCCCACAAAACCCCCAGGCTACACAACCATAATGTATATGCAGAGGACCTGGTTCAGACTAATACAGCATTCATGATTATTGCTTCAGTCTCTATGAGCCCCTGTGACCCCTGTTTAGTTGATTCTACAGGCTGTGTCCTCATGGTGTCCTCAACCCCTCTGGATCCTATAATCCTTCTTCCCCCTCTTCTTGGGGCTCCCCAAGTTCTACCTGGTTGTTTTCCTGTGGGCGTCTGCACCTGTTTCCATCAGATGCTGGCTGGCGCCTCTCTAATGACAACTGGGCGAGGCACTGATCTATGAGAAGAGCAGAATATTGGGAATCACTTCATTGACTTTTCCCCCAGCTGTGTTGGGTTCTATCCTAGGTCCCTGGGCCATCCAGCCTCTGCTTCCTGGCCCCCCAGGTGGTAGTGTCATAGGTGGGCTCCCTTTCTTGGTTTGGGCCTCAAGTTGGACCTCAGTCATTGGTAGTCACTCCCACAAGTTCTGCACCGACATTCCCTCAGCACAGCACAACTTACAGGAAGAAAAAAAAAATGCAGGTCAGAGGTTTTGTGGATGGGTTGAGATCTCCCACCCCTAGAAGCTGTGCCTGGTTATAGAAGATGGTCAGTTTGGGATCTGTATCCCTCATTACTAGGAGTCTTCACTAGCATCATTCTGTTGATCCCAGGAAGTTTTTACCTGTGTCTATGTTGCCTCCCAAATAAACGCAATTCAAGTAGTCTCTCCGAGCACTTTCTCACTACATCCCTTACCCCACCCCACCCCACCCCTCCTGCTCCCATCTGTTCCTGAGCCCTCTCTGCTGCAGGGTGCCCACGTCATGCTAGAACCCAGCTGGAAGCTTCTAACCCAAATATTCTAGAATAAACTTGCAAAGCTTACTGTCTCTGGTTGGTCAGTGTTAGAAAACAGACAGTGTCGTCCTATTAGAGCTTGGAGGGGCAGGTGGCATTGGGGAGCTGACTTGCCTGAACACCAGAGAGCCCACAGTTCAACTTTCAGGAATTTCACTGCACATCAGTTAAACACAGCCAATTTCTAAAACTAAACGAGATAAAGTCACAATATTGAACAATATCCAAAATAAACAAAAAGGATTACAGAGGATAACCCCCCCTCTCCCTCAGAGAAAAAAGAAGGAAAGAACACCTGATCTCCTTAGCTCTGCATTATATTCCTGTAATCTGAGCCACCCTGAGGAATCCCTATTTGCTTTGTATCTAATCCCCAAAGCTCGCTGAACTCCCATTAGGAACAAGGTGTACACACAGTTTCTATGCTGGCCGCCCACCACCACCCCCCTTTTCCTTCTGTTTTCTTTCTTTTTTTCTCACAGTGTTGAAATCTAGCCAAATGTCCAATTACCTTGGAAAGTAAAAGGTAGAGGAAAGAGAAACACAAAGAAGTCTTTGGTGTCACGTTTATGAAGACATGTGATCTTAATTTAGAGCAAGGAGCACTTTCTCATTGCAGAGCTTGAGAACTGGAAAGAAGCCAAGTTCTTTGGACAAGCCTGTGTGCATGAGCACACAGGTGACAGCTCTCTTGTTGCCATGCAAGGGAAGTTGTAGGTCAGGTGTGTGTGCCTATAAATCCACACCCCTTTGCAACGAGGGACATCCAGAATACGTTTCTAACAAGAGCATCAGGCAGTTCAGGTAAGCAAGCAAAAGTGCAGGCTATTCATTGCTTAATCTCATAGCCTCTGCTATGTTTAAATGATCACTTTTTTGCTATTTAAAAGTAAGACTTTTGCATAAAAGTGAAGCTATATTCTGTTGCTGCTACTGGCTTGGTTTCCTGTGCTGGCTTCATAATTTTTCTCTCAATTCATATTAATAATAGGATAAACTAGACTGAGTGTAAAATGATTTCTTTAAAAATAATCTGTGTTCTAACAATAGTGCTTCCTTGTATGTTTTTAGGTTTTATTTTCTAATAACTATTTATTTATTTATTTATTTATTTATTTATTTATTTATTTATTTACTTCTATGCCATGTGTTTTGCATGCATATATGTCTGTGTGAAGGCATTGGAACTGACAGCTGTGAGCTGCTGTGTGTGTGATGGAAAGTGAACTCAGGCCCTCTGGAAGAGCACCCAGTGCTCTTAACCACTGTGCCATATCTACTGCTACTAACGTTTTATTGTAAAATGTAGAATTTTTCAATATTGAAGTAAATGGTTTACATTAAATTACTTTTCAAAAGTACAAGCCTAGTGTTAGAAAATGATAATTGGCCAACTCTGATAATGCCAATTGGTAGACGCAAGGATTGGTGTTTTCCAAGCAAGTCAGATGCTTCTGTAGTGCAAAAATCAACTGAATTCTTCCCAGCTGCTGTCCTGTCCCTTGCAGCTGGAACCTAAAAGCTCTCAGCAAGAGAAAGATCACTGAGCCCCAAACAATAGACGAGTTCTATTGCTTTGAATACAGTGGTACCTTTTTTGCAACAAAGGTTTTTAATTTTGAAGATAAAAAGGTGTTGACAATAGTACATAAATACACTTCCTTAATAATTAGGAGTTATCAGGTTCCTCCTCGACTCTGAACTTGGCCTGAAAATGGCACAAAAGATGAAGTTGCACGTTCTCTTTCTTTTCTTGGTGTAGGTTGCATCTGCACAGCTCTGTCTTTAACATCAAGAACTTTCTGAATACTTTCTCCAGATTAACCTTTCCTAACTCTTCCTTCTAAGATCCTAGAAGAGTCTGAAGCACTTTTTGAAATTTTTCAAGGACGATGAAGAGACGATTTGGAGGGTTTCTGTAATTGATTAATTAGTTAATGAATTAAGTTGCTGCCTGTAGCTCATCTGCAGTCCTTCTAGAAGCCAACAGGACTCTATTGTAGGTGGCATTGAAACATCTCTACGGCAACTGTCAGCCTCACTGCAACTGACCTTCCCAAGTTGGGCTTGTTAGCCCAGGCTGCCCGTGTTCCCTGCTAAGACCCATAGCTTCTATTTCATCTTCCAGATACAGGATGGCCACTTTAAGGGAACAAGATGACATTATGAAATGTCTTACTAAGCTCTAAGAACTGAAAACCTGATGGTGTTATCAGACCTGGTTACTGTTTAACAGGGTCTTTAGAGCCCAAACACTGAGAAGGCAATAAATGGTTCTCCTGGCAATTATGGACGGAAACAATCCCAATAAGACTAACATGGGGCAGCAAGCATCATCAGCTCAGAGATGAGACAGGGGCGACATCACTGAGAATGAAAAGACGCTGGGAAGAGAAGGATAAGAAAGCACCTAAATAAACCAGGGTGCACACCTCCTCTGAGCTGACGTCCTCCAACGTCTCCGAGGCCATTTTACACTGACTATCACAGCCACCGCGTGTTTTGCTCAGACCACCTTTTGTGTCTTACTAATCTTTGTGTTTTTCCACAATTCTTATTGGAGCTAAATACAGCCACACTGAGGCAGAATCAGTAAGCAATCGTTGGTTACATTCGGGCTAGAAAATTTCATTACTATGGTGGAATTCACTGCCTAATAACACAACCTGCAGCAAAAAAAAGTTAAGACATTTTAAACAAAACAAAGGGTATCTGTACATGTATTTCTACTCTGTTATCCATGTTTCATTTTAGCAATGTGACAATACTGTCATTTTTTAAAGAGTAGTGTAAAAGGCCCCATGACTGTTGGAAAGCACGGGGGGGGGGGGGAGTGGAGCATGACTACAGAGCACTGAAAAACGAGGGTTGTCCACATTTTACTTTCCTCCTTATTCGTAGCTGATGGGATAATTTTTTGTCTCTAATACCATTTTCCTATAAAGAAATTGTTCTTAGGTGTTACTCTCAGAAAGATAAAAAGACTAAGAGTCAGGTGCTGAGAGTCAACACTGCTTTGCATGACTCAGCTGACAGGGATTCATGGACAGGATTGTGTTAGAGTTTCACCGTGGAACTCTGCACACCACAGTGACCTAAGGAGCAGCTGGGCGCCCTTGGCCTGCTCTCAAACATCACCCGTGCCAAGTGGGTGATGAACTTAATAGCTAAGATGATTCAATGTTTTTGAGTGTGTTAAAAATGATACTCAGAGATTTTCTAATGTGGAATCTAAAACTGAACCTCTCAGCATGGGGTTTGTTCAAATCTTTGAATAACAGACTGTTGGAAAGTGATCTGCTTCTGAAAATTATTTTCTGCTGTCTAGCTGCCCCTGGGTGACTCTCCAGAAGACATGATGCTCCATTCCGCTCTGGCTCTCTGCCTCTTGCTGATCACAGTTTCCTCCAATCTTGCTATTGCTATCAAAAAAGAGAAGAGACCTCCTCAGACACTCTCCAGAGGTACTGTAATCTCACCATGGCTTCTAAACTTAGTCATTTCAACTGCTATCAAAATACTTACTGTATCCATCTATAGTTTGGTTGGCTACAAGTGAAAAAAAAAAAAGATAAATAAAAGCAAGGTATTTTCAATACATGACTTTAAAACAAACTTTTCTAAAGGGGTGATCATTGATTTTAGACAGTAAATAACCAAATTTCAAAGAAATAACAATACTTTGGGTTTGGGGGATTTTTTTTGTTTTGTTTTCTTTTTGAAGCAGGGTCTCTCCATGTAGCCTTGGCTGGCTTGGACCTCGTCCACCAGGCTAGTCTCAAACTCATAGAGATCTGCCGGCCTCTGTCTCCCAAGTGCTGGGCATGATGTGCAACACTATGCCTGGCTCAGTCAAGAAGTTCTGATGCATCTTTTGTAGATGGAAAGAACTGGCTTGATGCGTATAACTTTGACTATTAGAATCTCAGAAAAGAAATAGTTCATTGATGTCATAATGTTTTCCTGAAGGCAAGTTAAGATTCTTCAAACTTTGTCGAAATTCCCAGAACTCTATTTAAGGCAAGGAAATAATTTGGTATTATTTTATACAAGGCTACCTAGAGGATCATACTTTATCTCACTTCCTGATAATTTGGAGTAACCAAGCCTTTCTCATGACAATGATAAAGTTGCACTCATTTTAGACATTTGCCATTGGCTCCAGCTTCAGAAAAACTTCTATATTTTTATACTTACAGTTTTCCTTTGGTCTGAGAAACAAATAGGAACGTGGTTGAGCAAATGTCCTTGTTACATGCCTGAGCATCTTTTGGGTATATGCCTAGGAGTGGTATAGCTGGATCTTGAGGAAGCGCTATTCCTAATTGTCTGAGAAAGCGCCAGATTGATTTCCAAAGTGACTGTACATTCCCACCAGCAGTGGAGGAGGGCTCCCCTTTCTCCACAACCTCTCTATCGTCTGTTGTCACTTGAGTTTTTGATCTTAACCATTCTGAAGATTGTAAAATGAAATCTCAGGGTCATTTTGATTTGCATTTCCCTGTTAGCTAAGGATGTTAAGCATTTCTTTAAGTGATTCTCTGATGTTCGATATTCCTCTATTGAGAATTCCCTGTTTAGCTCTGTACTCCATTTTTTAATTGGGTTACTTGATTTGTTGCTGTTTAATTTCTTGAGTTCTTTATGTATTCTGGATATCAGCCCCTGTCAGATATAGGATTGGTGAAGATCCTTTCATAATCTGTAGGCAGTCGTTTTGTTCTGATGACAGTGTCCTTTGCTTTACAGAAGCTTTTCAGTTTCATGAGGTTCCATTGATTGATTGTTGATCTTTGAGCTTGTGCTGTTGGTATTCTGTTCAGGAAGTCATCTCCTCTCTCAGACATGAACTCAGTGGTTGGCTCTTTGATCACCTTCTCCTGAGGGGGGTGCAGCCTTACCAAGCCACAGAGGAAGACAATGGAGCCAGTCCTGATGAGACCTGATAGACTAGGATCAGGTGAAAGGGAGGAGGACCTCCCCTATCAGTGGACTTGGAGAAGATGAGGGAGAGAGGGAGGGTGGTGTTGGGAGGGAATGAACTGGGCTACAAAGTGAATAAACTGTGATTAATAAAAAAATAAATAAAATTTTAAAAAGAAACAAATGTTCATATCCAAAAGGATGATGAAGAAACAGTTCACAAAACTGGTTTTTATATTTCCAAAGAACAGATAAATGCTGAGAATTGTTTGCCCCAACACAATGGATTCAAAAAATCAGGATCACCACACAGTGCTTGGCCCCTCTTTGGAACGGTGTTCTGAGCACAGTGAGCAGTGCAAGATATTTAAAAGGCAGACTGGCCTCCAAGCCATTCATTTCTTCATATACATAGAGTGCCAGCCATGTGTCCATAATAGTTTACCCAAGTGAATTCATTCAACTTCAGCTCAGAAATCACGATCTGTATGTCTAGAAAGGCAATATATACTGCAAAATAAACAAAGGGCAAAAATATTTCTCTGGATAAAATTTAATCACAGAGCTCTCCACACAAACATAATAGTTATAAAATAAAGAGCTTAGTAGCTTTAAATCACCCAAGGCCAAACCACTCATTGCTCTTCAAGTCCTTCCACAGTGGAGGTGAGCGGCATGGCTACAGCTGCATTCTGAGACTCCAGTATTCTGTGAGCCCTTTTAGATATGATCCAAAACTCTGCAGCAAGGCTTTGCTACATTTATTTACTCATGTGCTGAAGTCAGAAGTTGACTTGATGAACTTGCTAGTTTGGGTTCCAGGGGTCAAACTCAAGTCACCAGTTTTGGCGGCAGGAGCCCTTACCAGCTGAGCCAACTTTCTGGCCCCCTTTTTGTCAAACTTTATAAAAACAAATTGGAGTACACGTGGCTTACTTTGAACAACTTCGTTCTACTACTTCAGTTACTAAGACTGTTTTGATAGAGAAGACTACTGATGCGGTGAGGCACAGTGTTGTGAGATGGCTTACACTGGCTGATCCTTTCGCTTTGTCTTTTTGTGTTAAAATGGCTGGGAGGATGTGATGGAAGGCAGGAGCGGATGGAAGAAGTGTGCAGAGTTCACCCCTTAACAAGAGCAGTGCCAAACAGCTAAGGGCAGAGACAAGTTCTCACACTCTTCTAAACTGGAAGACTAGTGAGAAAAGGAATAGGTGGTTTTTAAACACACACACAGTGACTAAAACATTTCCTAACATCCTTTTCACAAAAAAACTAAAATCTGTCATGGTGGCGTGCTAGCCTTTAATTCCAGCCCTTGGGAGGCAGAGGTAGGAGGATTTTTGTGCGTTCAAGGCCAACCTAGTCTCCAAAACAAAAGAACTACCCCAGACCTGGACCAGGTGCCTAGCATACAGCAGATACTCAATGAGTAAAATCATGGAAAATAAAAAGACACAGTTAAAGCTAGAGACACAAGTACTGCCATGAATCCAGACCTGGAAGAGAATTTAAATCCTGTCACATTTGTCCCATTGTGATTATGACCTAGACTGTATAAAAGCAGTTATGACACAATATGGCCCCTGTAAAACAAATTACGTATATATATTCTTTGTATTACCAGAAACGAGTGGATTAAAACATGGCAGATGATCCTTTAATGTTTATGGAACTAGGTTGAGCAGGAAAAAAGAATTAGAATGTTTCTACTCCTAATGCTGTAGTATTTGAGTGACATTTACAACCTATGAAGGGAGCTGAAGAGATGGCACAGCGGTTAAGAGCACTTGCTGCTTTTCCAGGGGACCTGGGTTCAAGTCTCAGCACCCAAATGTCAGTTTACACTAGTCTAGAGCTCCAGTTCCAGGGAATCTAATGCTGACTTCCACGAGCACCAGGCATACATGTGGTACAAACATACATGCAAGCAAAACACCCATAGACAAAAAAATTAAAAATATGAATAAATATTTTAAAAAATACAAGCAAAGTGAGAAAGGTAATCCAGGGGCTGCTCTCATATTCTAGGGTAAAGTTCACGGGGAATATGCTAACGCAACATCAGATCATCTGTCAGGATCTTTACAGAGGACACAGAGGGAGGATAGAGGGAGGAGCCAGAACAATACGATGTCTTCCAATGTTAAGATGTTAGATCTACCACACGCCTATCTGTCATTTTGCCATTATTATAAATTGGCACAGCAATGTTGTAGAGCAAAATAACTCTCCTCAGGAAGTTAAAACACAAGACAGGTGTGTTGGTACTCACGCTTAACCCCAGCACTTGTGAGTTCAAGGCTACCCTGGCTCCAGGACAGCAAAAACTACTACATACAGAGAGCTTGTATTAGGCAGCATTATTCATCAAAGTCAGAATGTTGAGACAACCCAGATTTCCATCAACTGATGAGTAATAAGTGGTCATCTTACTTAGGGTTACTACTGTTATGATAAAGCACCATGACCAAAGACACGTGGAAGGACAGGGCTTATTTGGCTCACACTTCCACAGCGCTGTTCATCACTGAAGGATGTCAGGCAGGGTCTCAAACGGCAGGATCCTGGAGACAGGAGATGATGCAGACCATGGAGGGTGCTGCTTGCTGGCTTGCTCCTCACACCTTGCTCAGCATGCTTTCTTCAGAATCCAGGACCACCAGCCCAGGGAGGCCCCACCAACCATGAGCTGTGCCCACCGCTATCAATTTTTAATTAAGAAAATGCTACAGCCAGGATACAAAGTGAATAAATTGAGGTAAATAATAATAATAATAATAATAAATTAATTTTTTTTTTCAAAAAAGAAAGAAAATACCTTACAGCTGGGTCTTATGGAGGCATTTTTTTTTCTTTCCAGTGATTCTAGCTTGTGTCAAGTTAACATAAAACCAGGCAGGATAACTGACCCCTTGCCAACTTGATACTCAAAACATGTCACTATAAAACCATAACCATTCCTTTCTTGTTCATCCCCAAGATCACACATTAATATCATCATCAAAACACAAAGCATCTTACAAACTTTAAAAGTCCCACAGCCTTTACAAATTCAAACACTTTAAAATTCAGTCTCTTAAAAACCCAGTCTCTTTTAAGAGCCTGACGCTCTCTTTTAAAAATCAGTCTCTCCACTGTGGGCTCCTGGAATTTTTTTTTTTTTTTTAATTTTCAATACTTTCATACTTCAAGAGGGAAAGACCAGGGCATAGTCACACTCTGAACAAAGCAAAAACAAACTCCAGACTCCAAGTGTAAGTACTTGTCCGATTATCTCAGATTCACTCATAATCTTCCGGGATCCTCCAAAGGGCTTGGGTTCCTTCGCCAGCTCTGCCCTCTGCAGCACACATATAGCTTGGCTTCCAGGCTCCAGATGGCTCCACTCCATTGCTGCTGCTGCTCTTAGTGGGCATTCCATGGTCCTGGCATCTCCAAAACGCTGGGGTCTTCTGCTGCAGCTGGGCTGAACTTTCACCAACAGCTGCTCTCTTTGTGGTGCCAAGACTCCGTCTTTTCCTCCTGGCCCCTTTCAACTTTTCAATCCTGGGCCTTCTGCTGTCACTGAGGCTGCACCTTCAGAGCCAGGGAAGCCTGGCTCTTACAAGTTCAGCTGCCAGCATGGGGTACCACCTTGGTCACCTCTGGAACACAGCTCCTGTGCTGACTCTCAGCAAACACTCTCCAGAAGATTTCACCTCAATGATGTTGGTCTCAATCACTGCTAATTTCTCAGCTCCAGCCCACCAGCACTGAGTGTACCAGCAAAGTGAAGACTGCATTTCAGTAGTTCTGTGTCTTGTTAGTCACAGCTGATTCTTCAGCCCCAGCTAACCAGAACCACGGCACCTTTACACAAAAAGCCCGGCAGAGTCTCTGCTTCCCTGTAAAATTTCATCGTGCAGGCCTCCATTGTCTACCCTGCTCTCAGCACTCATAGCTTCCAAGTTTCTACAAAACAGCTCACTGAGCTCTCAACATTCAGTGACTTTTCTAGCCCTGAGTTTCAAAGTCTTTGCACAATCCTCTCCAAAGCAGCATGGCCAGGTCTGTCACAGCAATACCCTATTATTCTGGTACCAACTTCCTTCACTACCTAAGCTAGGCTCTGTATGATGGAACAATACTAAGCCAGAGAAAAGTCATTAAGGAAGGAATACTATGTGGCAGGGCATGAACTTCAAAAACATGCTAAGGGAAATAATTCAGTCACATTGTATGTATCTCTATTTACAGAAAATGTCCAGAATAGGCCAATTATAGGGGTACAAATTAGATGAAGGGTTTCTTAGAGCTGAGAAGGATCTGGAGATTGGAGGGTGGATGACAACTGAAAATGTACGGTTGAGGGCTGGCAAGATGGTTCCGGAGGTAAAGGTTTGTACCGCCAACCCCAGTGACCTGAATTCAATTCCCAGAATCCTCCTCCTGGAAGAAGAGAACCCACACTGTGCAGTTGTCCTCTGACCTCCACTCTTGTGCTGAGGCTCATTATGACCCCCCCCCACACACACACAAATATATAGATAAATACATGCAACTAGGTTTTTTTTTTTTTTAATCAGAGTTTACTCTGAGGTGTTGAAAATGTTCTAAAATTGATTGTGGTGTTGGCCATGTAACTCTGGGAATATGCTGCCAAGAATGTGCAGTTTCTGTGGGTGAATCGAATCATATGTGAATAATATCTCAACAAAGTGCGTATCAAATAATGAATAAAGAAAAGAAAAAGGAACACAGAATCGTGTTTATCTTAGTTGATGGTTCTGCTTTAATTCCTGCTGTTACACATGTGCATAGATGCCACAATCTGACATTTGAATACCGAGGAAAACCTGCATCTGACCAGCCCCCAAATATTTCTGTCATGATAACTCGGTGTTCCTCATCCACGTCTAGGCAAGTCCGGGAAGCAACCTGCAGTATTCCTGCATGCTCTGTACATTCCACTTCTTGACTTCTTGAGGGCTTCGTTCTTTAATCTCTAGCGTGCTTTTACAAGGACTTCTATCTCCTTTCTAAGGCTAATGGATTCCCGCTGTTGTCACAGCTCACGGCTTTCTCACTATTCCACTCCTTGGCTGTTTCCAGAATGTGTGTGTGTGTGTGTGTGTGTGTGTGTGTGTGTTTTCAAACATGAAATTTCCTGCCTTAAATATTTTTCAAGTAAAAAGTGGAAGTAGAATTTGGAACTCCTTTTCTCCAATGTGCACTGTACAGAAGCAGTCGGCATCCTTTGGCACTCAGGGCACACAGGGCACGTTGTGATGGAGTGCAAAGGGCTCTGGGTGGTTTTTTAGAACTATGCTACAATGACTGTTATTTCATGTACATTGTGAAAGCTGGGGCCTTTGCATGACCACAGCAGTTCCCCACGGTCCGGCACTGACAGGTACTGATGAGGTTCAAGGCTGGGTCTTGAACTTTGGTGCACACTCCCAAATCCTCCAAAGGGTACCACTTCTCTGCCTCCAGATGGAACTCACCATCTTTCACAATGCATGTCAGTCAACAGCTTTGCAGCTACTGTAGGTCTGGGGGTGACAGCTGCTCATCAGAGACTATAGCCCTGGAATAATGCATTGATTTATCTCTTCCTCAGGGTGGGGAGACGACATCACTTGGGTACAAACTTACGAAGAAGGTCTCTTTCATGCTCGCAAAAGGTAAAACCCCTCCCAGCTGCTGCTCACGCGCCATCTCTCATGCCTTGTGGAAGAGCCAGAACAGTTGTGTTAGCCTCTGAAAGAATGCCGCAGCTCTCGTGGCGCTGCTGTCCGCTGTGTCAAGTCAGGCTCGCTATCACAATGCTGTCTTGGCTACGCTTTCCATCGCTGTAAGCAGACAGCTGACCAGAAGCCACTTAGAGGAGGAAGGATTTATCCTGAGCCAGGACTAGGCCATAAAACCCATCGTGATGGGGAAGGCATGGCCGCGGAGGGCTGCATCATGCTGCGGCCAGCAAGCAGAGCCGGGCCAGAACAGGGACAGCTATAACCTGTGGGGACATTCCCACAGACCCCACTCTCTCCAGCTTCCACAGGTTCCAGGACTTCCCAAACCCTCACCTCCAGCCGGGGAACAGTTGTTCAAAGTAACGAACCTGTGGGGAACACTTCCTGTTCAAACCATGACAGATGAGATTCTTTACCTGTAGAGGCGCTAAGTCCCTCCGGACGATTTCTTTAGGACACAGGAAAGCTTTCAGTGCCCGTTGCACGAGTGAGGTGGTGCCGCCCAGTAGGCACTTCGCAAGCTTAGTAGGAAAACAGTTTACCGGAACACTCAGCCAGACACCTGAGATGCTTTGCGTCCCACTCATGGTCACAGTTCAGCAGCTCCGAACTAGCTGATTGCCCTGTGCTGTGTGGCGGGCGCGGGCCCAGACTCAGTGACCAAATGCAATAGAATTTTGATCCTTAAAGGTCTTCTAAATCTCCTGGAGAATTTTCCAGCTATCTAAAGAACATTCATTTTCAATTCTCCCATTAAAATAAAAAAATTCAGGAAATTAAATGAAACCTAAATAAATACTACGGGAAAATCTTATTTCCAACTATAAGTGTAAGAAACATGTAGACAAATGCCAGCGTCAGAGCACGGGTGACGCAGGCCGGCTGGTGGAGCTGCCGAGCAGGCGCCAAGCCCTCTCCATCGCCGCGTCAGGTAAGATGGGTGTCATGGAGCATGCCTGTGCTGCCAGGACTCGGGAAGGAGGGGCAGGAGGAGCCGAAGTTCAAGGTCATCCCAGCTACGCAGAAGTGCAAGGCTGAAATTCGGGGGGGGGGGGGGGCAAGTGGAGACAGGAGGACCAGAGGCACCCGCTGGGATGCAGCCGCAGTGACGGCAGCACGTCCATTCAGGGAGCGCCCTGGCTCAAGAGAAAAGGAAAAATACGGATGGCGGTTAACGATGACGTCCTGCTCTGGCCTCTTCCTGCACGGCACAGGCGTTCGCAAACACACACTCATGTGCATGCACCTCGTACACAGAGCACACACAGCGCTCATGCCATGCACCACACGCACATAACTCTAGGATAAAAAGGGCAAGAGTGCGCACTCACACTCACACCCCTCCTCTTCCACATGGGATCTCCAGATATCCTGGCCAACCTGCCTAAGCAAGATAAATATGTAGAAGGCATCCAAATGAGAAAGAACGAAATCAAACCGTTCCCGTGTGCACAGGAAATGACTGTGCACACAGAAAACCCCAAGGGACGTTAGAGCTAATAAAAGATTTCAAGCATTGCGGCCACGATGATGAAAAGGTAACTAACCACGGGATGCTTATATCTATGATTGTGTGACTCTTTTGTGTAGCCAGAAACATAGGCCATGGAAGAAGTAAAGAAACGGAGAGGGGGAAGCAAGGGAGCTTACATCACAAGAATGAATTTCTCCAACACTGAGTCTTTAAAGTAAAAAACAATCTCATCGCTGCAAACAGTGAGTGAAGGATATGACAGTTCACAGAACCAACAAAACACAACTGGAACATACACGCAGGACTAGTTTATAGAAATGCAAACTGGTAGTGCCCTTTTTTGTTTTCCCATATTGGGGGAAACAATTTAAAGCTGATGACCCATTTTAACAGAGGTGCACGGAGCTGCCTGCCAGAGAGAACACGAATTGAGACAGCTTCTACGGGGAATAAACCAACATGATGCGTGCGCATACTTGCTGGAATACAAATTCTGCCTCTGGAAATTAATTGACAGACATGTACACACAGGGGCAAACTCATACACAAATAACCTCTGCACACCCCCCAAGTCAGAGTTTATTCAAATGGAAAGGGGAGACTGGGAATGATTGAAGGACCCACGGTAAGGTGACTAATTAGAGAAGATATTTAGTGGAATAATATATTTAGAAAAGACCTGTGGAGTGACATCTGAGACATGAGATACACTGAGAAGAAGGCAAATCCATGTTTGGTAGTGTTTGTGAGCTTTCTTTTTATCTTTAGAGAGCTAGTCTTCCTAAAACGGCTAGGCTTGCCTGCGTTCTCTGTCCTGAGCCTCCTGTGAGCAGCTTCTGTTCAGATGCCACGTGGCGCCTGTCCTGTGCCTTTAGAAGTACACAGACGCATGACACATGTAGTGGACATGTTTGTGGATGTAAACAAGACACATCTATGTTTGGGAAACTGGCCTCCAAAAAATCTGTGGAAGAAAACAGAAATGACAGCACTGCTTACTTGTGGAAGACGGATCTGGGAGGAAGAACTTCTACCTTTTCAAGTTTTAAGAAAACTGAACTTCAAGTTTATTTTAAAAGGAAAAAAAATGTACAACTTTAAAGGACAACTTACCAAATGATGTCAATCAGTGAGGCCTGGGGCAGCCTCTGACTTTTAGAGTCTCAAAAGTTCAAACAGTAAGATCTATTGCACTCTCTCCTCCCCCCCTCTTGTGCTCTCTGTCTCTCTGCTCTCTCTCTCAATACCTCTCACAGTCGGACATGCCATATCATAAAGTTTTAAGCTCAGGGATCACATGTTCATGTATAGTAGTTGAACTGAAAACTGACTTCTGATTTTTACTTTAAAAATTTGGGAAAATAAAACTATAGTATTTTATAATGTGAAAATGACACTAAACTCACCTTTTAGTGTTCACAAATGTACTTTTGTTGGAACACAACCATATTCTTCCCCCCCCACACACACATATCACTTTTAACTACTTCTATGTGGTAAAGGCAAAGAGAAGCATTGAAGATGAAAATGATCATAAACCCTTAGGTATTTACTTTCTTCAACTGAAAAACAAAACAAAACTTGAAGCCTTGTTTTAGACTGTAGCTACTTCAATTCCTGCCATACAGTCCCTGTGTTTTGTTTTGTTTTCATTTGCAGACTGTTAGGTCTTCCATGTAAGATGACATTTTCCTTGGATTCTAATTGCTACAATGTGATGCTGAAATTAATGCCCCAAGACCATCCTCAAGTCCCTCCATTAGCACAGCTGCTAGGATGTCTTGTTGATGCTAGGAAGAAGCAGTCGGAAAAGCAGGGTGGCCTGGGCCCCTGACGGCTCTGTCTCGGGACGCCTACCCCACTGCGTTCAGTGAGAAGAGCTAAGAGAAAGCTGATGCTCACAGGCTGAGTATAGACCTGTCTGTTGGAGCATCATTAAACGTCGTAGGCTCAGGAGGTCTGGATCTAGTTTGTCCTCTCTGTGGAAGCCTCCATGAATACCTGTAGGCTTAGCATACTGCTCATACAAGGGTATGACATTTCATTCATCACAGCTCAAGTCTGCAGCCTTCCCAATGCCAAGTGCTGGTGAATGGTAGCTTTCTAATTACTCCATAAATCCTAAAGGTAATTTGGAAGGATATTATCCAAAATGTTTCTTTGTTGTTATTGTTGTTTTGTTTTGTTTTGTTTTGTTTTGTTTTGTTTTGTTTTCAAGACAGGGTTTCTCTGTGTAGCTGTCCTGGAACTCACTCTGTAGACCAAGCTGGCCTCAAACCCAGAGATCTGCCTGCCTCTGCCTCCCAAGCGCTGAGATTAAAAGTGTATGCCACCACCACCAGCCAGCCCCAAAATGTACTTCTAAACCAAGTTTGAGAAAATATATAATAATAAATAAAAGTATTCACTCAAAATTTGTGTTTAACACTTACTGAGATTAAAAAATGTTAGATACAGCACAGACTTATGCAACCACTGAATTTGTATAATTATATTTTTAGTTGGTTTTGAAAAGATTTATGCTGGCCTGGGAATGGAGCCAACTAGTAGAGTGCCTGTCTAGTATGTTTAAAGACTGGTTACCAGCATCACCAAACAACTTAATTAATGCATAAGAATTTTTGTTGAATAAGTATGTCCCCAAATCTCTCTCTTCGGATGCCTATGAGTATCTTAGTATTAAAGCCATCTTTAAAAACTCATCCTACATATCTGTCTTAGTCAGTTTTATGTTGCTATAATCAAATATATGAAGCTGGGTAATTTGCAACATTAATTAATAAGCAAAGAGCTTTACCTGACACCTGAAGTCCAACAGCATGGACATCAATATTTGCCTGGCTCTGTGCAGGCTTGTGGCAGATGGCATCACAGGATATGACTGTGTACCAAGAGGATCAAAAGATCCCAGCCTCCCAGCAATGCATTCTTGTGGGAACTAACCCAGTTCCAGGGGATCAGCTCCTGTCCCAGGAGACGCAGTAACATCTTCTGGAGGACAGAGCCATTATCTAACCACCTTCAAGTTTCCACCACCTTATCCCACTGGGGACTTTGCTTCCACCACAGACTTTCGGGGAAAAGATGAAATGTAAGCCAGGAAAATACCCACATCATAATCATTTTATCCCTTGATAGACACTACCTACTGTAGGCTACATTGCCATGACGTATGAGTCTAAGATTTTTATTTGATTCTAGTCAACAGCACCAAAACTTTAAATCTAATTCAATTTTGTACTGTGATGCAGCATTAATTAATTAACTTTGCTTTCTCTGTTTAGCAACAAGCCATTGATGGTTATTCACCACCTGGAGGACTGCCAATACTGTCAAGGTAACTTTACAAGTTCCTGGGATCTTACAGTATATCCAAACGTAAGGTACAGTGAGCTGGTAAGAACAGTCATGAGGACACCCAGACAAATCACACTTTTTTTTCTTGTATTTTTTTTATAATTTATTCATTTTATATCCTGATTGTAGTCCCCTCTCTTGTTTCCTGCCAGTGCCAGTTCCCCTCCCTCTTCCCCCCATCTCTGTCCTCTAGTCCTCAGATATAGAGAGACTTCCTCCCTTACCATCTGACCCCAGCCTATCCGGTTCCATCAGGACTGCCTGGATCATTTCCTCTGTGGCCTGGCAAGGCCACCTTGCCCAGAGCAAGTGATCAAAGAGCAGGCAGCTGAGTTCATGTCAGAGACAGCCCTGCTCCCCTTACTCAGGACTCACATGGAGACTGAGCTGCCCATTGGTTACATCTGAACAGGGAGTCTGGGTCCTGACCTTCTTTATGTCCTTGGTTGGTGCATCAGTCTCTGCAGTCTCCCTTGGGCCCATATTTTGTGGCTTTGTTGGTCTCCTTGTGAAGCTCCTGTCCCCTCCAGGTCCTTCTATCCCTCCCATGCCAACTCTTCCATAAAACTCCCTGCGCTCTGCCCAGAGTTTGGCTGTGAGTCTCAGAATACTACTTGGAATACTTGGAATACTACTCAACTATTAAAAACAAGGAAATCATAGAACCAGAAAGACATGCATGGTTTAACCTCATTTATAAGTGGATATTAGCCATAATATATAGGATAAACATACTCAAATTCACAGACCTAAAGAAGCTAAATAACAAGGAAGACCGCAGGGGAATGCTTAAATCTCATTCAGAAGAAAAAGCAGAATAGACACAGGAAGCAGTTGAAGAGAAAGAACAGGACGAGAGCTTACCACAGAGGTCCTCTGAAAGACAAATCACATTTTAAAAATGTCATTCTCAGATTACCAATTCTATCAAGTGAGAGCCACCTAGGGGCGCTCGCTGGTAACGACAGCAGGATTGTGAGTCTGAGGTAACCTGGGTGAGGTAGTGAGACGGTCCAGACAAGATTATGATTGCTGCTGAATGGGAAACTGTGTGTGATATGCTCATTGAGATATGGTACCCACGTATTAAAAATCAACATGAGGAGAAAAACTTGATGACAGAAATTTTTCTAACCAATGAGTTACTGAGCAATGTAAATTATGAAACTACTGTCTTCGTTAATGTAATTGCCCCTTGACATCTCCATGGCCACATTCTAGCTCATTGCTTCCCAATGACAGAGTAAGTAGTAAAAGGAGAACAAGCCATTTACACACATGTCATTGACACAAATGATAGAAAAAGATACCGACTTTGACATTGACAATATCTTGACCTTTAAGGAAACTGACATTTTGGTCTACCTTACAGCTCTCAAAAAGGAATTTGCCAAAAATGAAGAAATACAAGAAATGGCTCAGAATGACTTCATCATGCTGAACATCATGGTACATTAACTCAGCGGTGTTTTCTTGATGTCAAAGAATCATGGAAATCTTGACTCCCCCCCCCTTTTTTTTTTTTCTCAAACCATGCTGGGTCAAGGATTAGTTGCTATAGAATTTTGAAAGACCTTAATGTATAATTTTCTGAAAATTTAGCTTCCATAAAGAATGCCACATGGTCCAGTAATGTTCATTTATTTTATCTTCTGCTAGCATGAAACTAGGGACAAGAACTTGTCTCCTGATGGGCAGTATGTGCCAAGGATCATGTTTGTAGGTATGTGCGCCCCCACAGCAGGCTGGCAAAATTAGTCGCAACTTCAGGATTCTTGCATTCATTTGCTGTTCTTTTTAAAGGGGAGTCATTTCTAACCCAATCAATAATATTAGGCTCTTGTTAGATCTGTGCCAATTTTTTCTTGTTTATTAATTTTTATTTTGTTTTACTATTACTAACAAATTTTAAACGTTTAAAGTAATTTATGTTATTAAATCAACTTACCCATACACCTTTAGTACAATAACCCAAAATAGATAAAAAGAAAGCCATGGCACTCTACTAGGAAACTCTAGGCTAATCTGTCATGAACCCACATGATGAAAATTAACTTTGCTTAGGAATTTGCCTGACCTTGGTTTGAGCGTAGGGAGAATGAACAGCTCTAGGAATGTGTTAAGTAATGTCTGAGTGACTCTGTGTTTTGTTGTGTTTTGGCAGACCCATCTTTGACTGTCAGGGCTGATATAACTGGAAGATACTCTAACAGACTATACACATATGAACCCCAGGACTTACCCATGTGTGAGTATTCATCAATTATTCTGCACAGTGGTGACAGCTGACCGTGACAAACACTAAAAAGATGCAAACACTAAGAGAGAATGCTTTCTCCTAGTGTCAAAGACCCAAGGCTTTCCAATGACAATAATGATGATCTTGCCTTTTTTAAATGCCTATAAATAATGAGGTACAAATTTACTTAGGACTTTAACCATTTTAATAACAGTCACTATCGGCCATATTTAAGAAGATACTATTGGTCCCAGATCCAGCCACATTGGATTAATTCAATAGCTAATTAAAAAGTTCTCTTAATAAATCTGCTTAATGTAAATGATGAGCCACCTCTGACTGATGAAATCCATAAATTTACAAATATTCATTTAGTTTATAGTATGATATGGTATGCTAATTAGCCAGCTAATATAGAACTGGGAGCAGCCCAACTTTATTTACTATCAGTTGGATTCTAACATTCACTACTTTCATTTACTAAGAGCACAGTATGTGTTTACTCTTATTTCAGTGATAGACAACATGAAGAAAGCATTAAGACTTATCCAGTCAGAGTTGTAAGGAATGAAGGAAAGATGCTTCAACTCCAAAGATGCTTCGACACAAACATCTAACTCACTAACAATCACCAAATGTGCAAGAAAATGGATTTTATAACACTACTACTTGGACCTGTGACATGCCTGAGGTAGTTTTTATGAAAGTAAAATTAAGTTTTAATAAATGTTGGAATGCATGGTGATGCTGTAACTCGATGTTTACCTTGATCTCTAGCAAAGACAGTTTGCCACCAGCTCAGAGCTGCTGTGCTTTGCATACGAAATGTCCTCACTGCCTCATGTCTTGAAGGCTTGGTTCTCAGATAATAGAGAAGTCCCAGAAACTTCAGAAGGCAGCATCTAGCTAGAAGCTGTAAGTCATGATGGCAGCTCATTGAGAGTATCTACTCTCTGATACATTCTTCTCTTGCTCTCCACTTCCTATTGACCAAAAAGAGGAACCTCTGCTGCACAGTCACCCCTACAATTGTTCTGTCAAGGTACATTGGCCCAGTTGACCGTGGAAGTAGAACTTCCTTCCTTATGGTGCTGACGTCACACACTTTGGTCACTGTATCATCAGTAGCTGATGCGGGTCTAGTGGAGAAGGAAGGACCCGAATCGGGAGTTAATGGCTACTTCTCTCTCCTCAGCCCTCACTCACTTTGTCCACTAACTAATTTTACACCTACCCTCTGAGGCATATCAAGTCTGCTGGTGTCGATGACAATTGACTTCCTTGCTACATATTGGATCATTTCGCAGACTATTTCAGAGTTAACCACTTACTTATTTCAAATTAAGAGAGGCATTTGAAAACTAATTCAAATAAACTTAGAACATATTTTAAAATTCAGTAACATTTTCCTTAATTATTTGTAGATACTTTAAATTTTTAATGTTTTAAGAAAGGTGAAATTGCCTCAGTAATATTAAAGAATTTCTCTAAATAATTATCAGAGTAGGGTGTTATAGCTTCCTAAAGTTATCAGATGACCAATTTCTAATCCAGTTCTTCACAGGGAGATACCAAAAGGTTGATAAAATGTTGCATGTTCTTTTAAATATGAAAAAAAAAAACTGCAGAAAGAAACCACACAGCCAGTCAGGACGGAGCAACTGTCAGATGGCAGGGTGTCTCTGGATAGTGTTCTTCACCCACAGAATCTGGTTGCATCTCTGAGGTATCTTGAGTCAGAAAACATATACACACCGTCTGATACTAATACCTGATTGACCCCAAGATTTGATGAGTCAGAGGAAGATTGCTCCAGCTGTCATTTGACCACCGTCCTGATGGTTTTAAGCAATACTTTTAGTAAACTGATCTACTTGGATTAAATAGGTTGTGTGGCTTTCTGAACTACGATTCTATGTAAGGTATCTGAAAAAGGCATGAACACACACATTCATTCTCCCAAATGAGAGAACACCAATGCATTTTAACAGATCAGCGTTTATTTAAACACTAATTTGAATTTGATCTAAAGTTGAAGATAAGGAATATTATAAAAATTATATACTCCAGGCTGAAGATTGAAGTAGTACAGTTGATTGTATTGCTGAATACATAGGAGAGTGGGGGAAAATGTCAGTAATCATTTGATGTGATCTGCAGAAGAGATTCATTGACAACTTAGTTTCTAAAATTAAGAAAAAAGAATATTCATTTGTTTTTATTTAGAGGGAATAGTGAATGTGTCACTGAATATAAAATTGACTATTCTTTGTAATAAAATGTATATTTCCTTATACATTTATATATATATAATTGTATTATGATACACTTAACGTAATTCATTTTAAATGGTAATAAATTTGTAATAACTATATTAGTGAATATACCTTTGGAATCTTTTATTTCCCTTAAACTTATTTAAGTTTTAAATATTGTAGCCTACTTGATGTTTCTATCTAATATCACCATTTCACAAAATGAGTTGCCTGCATACAACAGCTTCTAGATTTGCTCTTGCATTTTGTATTTAGAACTACACATCAGCATTGGGGGGGGGTGCTTGATTGTAAATGTTGTTTGCAGAGGGTATCTCTTGTATCTGTATGGAAGCATTATCTGGCAATAAAAAGCTAACAGCCTATAGCTGAGGCAGGAAATAGGAGGTAGGACATCCAGTAGGCAGAGAGGATTCTGGGATAGAGCCAGGCACAGTAGATTCACCTATGAAGATTTGAGGAGGTCAGATGAATGGTACCTGAGCAGAGGTAACCAGCCATATGACAGAATGTAGATTAGTATAAATGAATTATTTTAAATTATGAGCTTGAAAGAAAAAGGGCCTAGCTATATGGCCTGGGTTTTTGTAAATAAATATTTTGAGTCTCATGAGTCATTATTCTGGGATAATGAAAATTATAGGGATGGAATGAAAAACTACTACAACTTGATGGTATACCATACGTGGAACATAGAATCAAAACTAACTTGAGAGAAGTCCTGGGTGGAGGCACAAATCCTCCCTGAAAACAAAACAGCTTCAAAGCTCAATCACTGCAAGAAAAATGACCCCTGATAAATAGAGGAATGGCAGAACCCAGTGCCCCAGGGCACATTGGCCCACTCCCTAGTACTGCTTGGTTCCATGGGGACTGAGGAAGACCATGTGCCGAGCCTTGCTACATCCACTTCCAGAGCCAGGCTGAACGCTACTTCTAGTAGCCAGCAGGAACCAGAGCAGCAGCAAGGAGAATGAGGAATTAGATGCTAGGTTAAGCATAAAAGAGAAGATGATGGATTCTTTAAATAAAAATAGAAAACCTTCAGAGGAATCCAACTTGAAACTTACAATAACACTGAAAGAGGTAGTTCCAGATGAAAGAAATCCACGAAGGCCCCAGAAATTAAAATGGCAACCTGTAGAGGTACAACATATTGACTTAAAGATCCAGATTGTTCCTACTGATGCTACCCTACAGCAGTGCCATACAATAAGTTATGTGTCTGATTTTGTGAAGTGTGGAGAATGAAGATATGCGCACACGTTGGTGAATCACACCATCGCTGCATATTCAGAATCCCAGTGGGTCTCCTGAATCCCGAAAAAAGATGATTCTCATATTATACGTTTATTCAGTTATAACAATTGTAGGAACTGTACAAATCGAGACTGACAAGACTACAGCAAATGTCTCTGGCAAAATAAAACTTTTAGCACAGTACGGCATGAGATCTGCTACAGGTGTACCCTGCAGTCCTGCAGGACAAGTAATTTTAGAAGAATTTGACAGAAATTTCGAGGGGAAGCTGGTAAGACAGAAGAAGGATGAAGATCACCCCAGGGATAGACTAAATGGTGCTTTGCTGACTTCAAATTATTTAAAAGTCAATGATACAAGTAGCACAACTGTTAAAAAAATATATTTCAAAATGGAAAAAAAGGAGGTATGTTGTATGGGGAGGAGATTTTACATTTGTTCTGACGGGAAAGGAAAAGCTGTGTCTGCCATCCAAATGGATAAAAGTCAGAACTGACAGAGGGAGACTCCCTGAAAATCTTGGCCACACAAAGGAAGAAACAAACCAAGACCAAAACAGGTAATATATGCTGGTCCCTGTATGGGAACAGCTCTGACACTGGCTGAGACATAAATACTCATGCAGAGCCAATAAATCTTGTTGGCTACAGAATCCTCATGATGTACTATGCCATCCTTTTAAATGGCATAGATTAAATTTGGTATTACGGAATGGTATACGATGCAGACCAGCTTAAAGAAAAAGACATGTTTTTCATCTTCACAAACAAAGAGCAAGAAATAATTTTTAATTGATCTGTTTACTTTGTACATTCCATATATATGTTACTATGGAACTGTATTTTATTTGTGAGAGTTTATATATTTGCTGCACAAATGGACCAAACACCAACAGAATGGAGATGGCCTTGACAAGACTCATCCACCAGGATATTGTCAGCTCCAAATACCTAGAAACATGTATTACCTGGAACCCCCAATGGCCACAACCATCAAGGACCCAGAAGACTTCCTTACCAGGCAACACATAGCAACCACACTCCCCTAGGAATCACTGAGGGCAACAAAAACCAAGGAACAAAACATGCAACAAAGATGAGACTAGATATCATCACCTAGAATTACAATCTCCCAAAACCCAGAGGCTTAGACAACAGCATTAAATATAGTCAATGACAGTATGATTCAGCTAGAGCCCAGCAACCTGCAAGATTAGGCCATGAGAATTGCCACATAGCTTAAGCACAAAACAAGGACCTTACAGTAGCTTTTATTAATATGGTAGAGTTTTTTTTAAAGAAATTAATAAATCTCTTAAAGAAACCTGAAACCACAAACAAACTGTAGAAGGAAAAAAAATTAAAGCAGTTTAAGATGTGAAAATGAAAACAGAATCAGTAAAGCAAGCTTCAATAGATACAAGAAAATTAAAAGAACTCTTTGTATCCTATATGACCACGACAGATTATAAACAACAGCAGAAACAACAGGAAGCTTACAAGCTCATGGAAACTGAAGAACTCCCCACTGAATGAAAAACGGGTCAAGACAGAAAGAAAGAAATTAAGGAATTTCTAGAATTCAATGAAAATGAATATGTAGCATACCCAAACTTAAGGGACACAATGAAGGCAGTACTAAGAGATAAGTTCATAGCACTAAGTTCCTACATTTAAAAAAAATGAAAAGATTTCATACTATCACTTAACAGTACACCTGAAAACTCTAGAACAAAAAGAAATAAAAAGGAGTACAGCAAGAAATAATCAAACTCCATGCTGAAGTCAACAAAATGGTAACAAACAAAAAAATACAAAGAATCAATGAAACAGAGTTGGTTCTTCAAGAAAATCAATAGGTTGACAAGCCTTAGCCAAATGAATGAAATTAGAGACAAAATGGGGCATAACAACAGATACTGAAGAAATCCAGAAAAATCAGAAAATCATGGAAATCTGTTCTCTACCTAATTGAAAAATTTAAAAGACATGGATAATTTTCTCATGCATATTACCTACCAAAGTTAAATGAAGACCAGATAAGAAATTTAAAAGACCAATGACCCCTAGTGAAATAGATGCAGTCATTAAGTCTCCCAACCAAAAAGCCCATGGCAGGATGGTTTTAATGCACAATTCTCAGAGGTTTTCAAAGAAGAATTAACACCAATACTCCTCAAATTATCTAATAA